TGAGAGGTGACCTTGTGGCTGCCTATAAGTTCATCACGGGGGCACAGAAGGGAATTGGTGAGGTTTTATTCACCAAGGCGCCCCCAGGGGTTACAAGAAATAATGGCCACAAGCTAGCAGAGAGCAGATTTAGACTAGACATTAGGAAGACCTTTTTCCCAGTTACAGGCAAAAAGGTCTGGAACGGGCTCCCAAGGGAGGTGGTGCTCTCCCCTACCCTGGGGGTCTTCAAGAGGAGGTTAGATAAGCATCTAGCTGGGGTCATCTAGACCCAGCCCTCTTTCCTGCCTATGCAGGGGGTCGGACTCGATGATCTATTGAGGTCCCTTCCAACCGTAACATCTATGAATCCTGGCCTCTTAGCAGCTTCCTGCCCAGCTGCACTCCCTGTCAACGCTGCTGGGACTGGTCTCCATGGAAACCCTGACTTCATGCTGTCACGGCCGTGTAGATCTGTCTTATACCTGCTCCAGTTACTCGGTGGCATCTTTGACTGCTCTGGGTGGAAGTGGGACCAGAGCCACACTTAGCAAACTGGCTTGTCTCCTACTTTTCTCCCATGCTCCCAGGACTGCAAGGAGGGCTGCAGGGGCACACACCAGTCTGTAAGACCCTGTAGGAGCAGCCTTGGCAGTGGCTACTGGCCTTGCCCTCTTAGGTACAGATAAGGGGTGGGGAGAGGGCAGACGGTAGAAAGAATAAAGTATGGAAGTCCTGCCCCCACTGCCCTCAGCTAGCACCAACTAGATCAGTAGTTCTTAACCTTTTTAGCCTCAAGACACCCTTCCCTATTTTTCCTGATTTTTAGATTGTAGCTCTGGGTACAGTGAAATTCAGAAAAGCTATGGAGGGGTCCCTTGAGGCTAAAAAGTTTTGAGGACTACTGCCTTGCCTTGTGAGGAGCTCAGTGTTCATAGTGATTGGCTTCTTGGTGGGCAAGGAGAGGTGTGGCTGTATTCTCCCTAACCTGTTTGCTTGTGGGGACCAAACTGAATAGACGCTTACAAATCTTCATAATATGATCCCCTCTTTTTCTTGGGTCTACTTAGTCTATAGTTCTGCCAGCAGAGTGCATGCATACTCAGAAAGCCTGCCTGTCTGAGGCAGTGGAGCTGTCCTTTTCTGCTCCTAGAATTACTCTACCTCTGAGTGAAATTAAGCTTATGTTGCTGCCAGGCAGCTGGCTGAAGGCTCATGTAGAGGCTCCCTCATTTTCTGCTGACTGCAACAGACTTCGTGCAGAGGCTGCACAGCTGCTATATTTGGGTTGCACAGAGCCATTAGAAGTGCTGAGGTGTCCATCTGCTCTGGTAGTTTATCAGTGGCAACTGCTGGATCAACAGGTAAGAGTAGACATATGTTTTAGGTTGCAAAGATGTGAACAGTGTTGTTCAAAGTATTAATGGCCATCTGAGTTTTTACCTTGTGAGAAAAGCGGGGCAGGTTACACCTCAGAGCTATTGTTTCAGGTCATGCAGTACAGGGTGACCTTACTGCATCAGTTTTACTTGGTTCTTTTTTTGAAGACTATGTTATTTAAAACTTTGACCCTAGAGAGCAGGAAGACAGTGTGAAAGAGGTGTGAATGCTCTGTTTTATGAGTTGCTGGATTATTCCAAGTCCAGGTGTCTTTACATTTCTATATCAATTCTATTTTTCTTAGCTACAACAGTTGTCTAGTAAAAATTTTAATACCTTTCGCTGGTAATATTAATACAGGGAAACATGGTAGAGGTGTACTGATACATCGGCCCATACCATATCAGCACCAACACAAGGAAAATTGATCTTATCGGCAATCGTTTTTTTTTTTTTGGACCATGTGGCCGACAATATCACCGATAAATGCTGCAGCCAGGAGTGCAGCCCAGCAGCTTGGAGAGCAGTGTCTGGCTGGTAAGTCTGTGGGGAGGAAGGGGCGGGGGCAGATCAAGGCCCCTGTGGTGAGAGGGGGAGTGGGGCAGGCACTGCCCAGCTAGCACAGAGTGGAGCTGTGACTTGTCTGGGGGGCACAGGGAGGTGTGAAGCGGGGGGGTGGGTCCCATCGTTGCATGCACCCATGGGGGAGGAATGGAGGGCAGCTGCTTCTGTGTGCAGGGCGAGGGTGGGCTGCCTGCTGTATGCTCAGGGCTGGAGGCTGTGCTGGGCTTTTCCCAGCAGGGGCTGGGACTGGGCTGCGCTTGGGGTAGGTGGTGGCAGTGCTGGGAGGGGGGGGTTATGGCCTACCCTGTAGCCCCTCTCCCAGCAGCACTGCTGCCCACCCCGAGTGCAGCCTGGGCCCAGCCCCCGCTGGGAAGAACCCAGCACAGCCTCCAGCTCCAAGTGCTCAGTAGCAGCCTGCCCTTGCCCCATGCAGAGATCTGGGGGGCACATGCCCCCCCAAGCATCCCCTGTAGGTATGCGCAGAGGTGGGAGCTCCCTCCCCCCACCCCTCCTGAGCCCCCTGGATGATCTGTGGCTCTGTCCCATGCCCCACTCTGCCATGGCTGGGCAGCATCTGGCCCTGTCCCTGCCCCACTCCCTCACTGTGGGAGCCTCAATCTCCGGCCCCCCCCCCCGCCCG